ATTGCTATCGTGGCAATTCCGGTCGCTGTATCTATCAGTTACTGCTTCACACGGCACGGTAACAGCTTTGACTCACCCCACGGAAACGTCTTGAACATTGTTGAAGTTCTCAGTTTTGAAGCTTGCTGTTCGTAAACCCCATTCGTACCTCTTAATCCCCACCAGAAGTCCGCTGAAAGGATAATAAATGTCAATAGACTGGCCACCTGGAACGATAAACCGGCAATCATGACATTGACGCCTGTCTGTTTGAGATTGCTATCGCCGCCGCTGGCAGCAAATGCACCACCTATTGTTTGTAGGACTAGGCTGACGACGTCACATGTGACAAAGATTATGGTGTAGGTGCGAGGCGCAAAACGAGCCAGGTATGCACAGCGGGCCACAATGAGCCGTGAAAGAGATAGATATACGGCTGCTGAGAGAAAGGCGGGACCAATTGTTAGGCAGATGAGGTATCTGTTCCTAAATTAGCATAACGTGTTGAGTCTTGAATTGGTTACATAAGAAAAGTAGCATACATTAGGAAAGGATCCATATTGAAAGGGTCACTGTGCATCTGTAAACGCCCCACATATCCTATGACCTCGAGCACCAAGCCAAACACCATGGCGATAGAGAACCCCCATGTTCGGTAAATGATTCCGAGAACAGATTGGGCGAGAAGTACAACGCCGAAGATGATCAAGTATGCGAGGTTGCCGCTTTCGGAGGGCTGATATTGGACTTGTGCATAGGAAAGTGAGCAAGTATCGATGTTACATCTGGAGTAAGGAATGATGGTGCCGTTGAGGCTAGGGACAAACCGCGTGCCTGAGGAGTTGGTAGGAAGGGACATGGCAAATAGCAACGTAGAATTGAAAACCATTGAAAGTAGGCGTGGAGGGGGGCATATTTGAAAGTTGTGCTGCCTTTCTTCTTAAATGAGAATAGGCTTGAAAAGGCGTATCAGGCAGGTGAGAATTTAAAACTGGCCGCAATCCTGCTGAGCGAGAGGAAGAGATATCTGCAAACGCTGAGGGAGAGGAAGAGATATCTGCAAACGTAACCGTATACGTAATGTCCTTTCGTAAGTAGT